GAGAGGGAGGGAGGGAGGGAGAGGAAGGACTATGGCGTTCAAGCCATATTAGAATAGAAGTTGATGATGGTCAGGCTGCAGGAAGTCGTTCCAGTGGTGCTTTCAATATGGAAGTTGAAGGGGAAGAGAGTGCAGTTATGGTTGACCCAGTCACTGGGACCTTTCCTGTGGTGTGGTCATCAAGGAGTAGGTTGTTCAGGAAGAGGCAGGATACACGAGCTAGAAGGTAAGAGTGATAAGGCTGTATGGGGCTAAGTGCCTAGAGAGGGGCTTGTGGGAATAAATAAGGAAGGTAATGGTGCAGATCTATTGTGGGGGGGTAGCGATGGTGTGGGTGTCGGATTTTTCCAATGCATTAACAACAATGGTCACTCTCGGAAGAATGATGGGGTTAAAAAGAGTTGATTTGGGTAAATGAACATCATTTTGAAACAATCCAGAAATGAAAGGAAGGCTTTTATTTTGTTATGGAGGGAGACACTGAGCCACAAACGTAAGAACCTTGAGCTTTTGAACCTCTCCTAGCTAATCAGAAAAGGCAAATTTCAGGAGACATACCACTTGTATAATGTCAAACATTCAAAATCAATTTTATTGAACAAAAACAGTCAACACAGACAATTAAGACTAAACTCTTCCTTTATTACAATGAAAGGCTTTCTAATAGATGATCCACACTCATCAGACAAAGAAGAAAGGCTAGAATCTGCAGTAACTCTAGAAGAAATGAATAAGTCATGTTTCCTGAATTGGACATATTTTTTACACACTATCCTTATAGTAAAACAAGACAATTATTCATATTCCATGATAACTATATAAGTCTTCACTTAGACTACCTGTATGAAATTTAACTATATATGACGTCTCTTAAAAGATAATCTTGTTTTCCGAAATGAAACTTAACCAAGGTATAGCATTACTATAACTGTATTGATACTATCCATCAATCAAGATTGTACCTTTCTATCAAATTGACTATCATTCAACTTTTATATATGCCAACTATCTACATATACAACATTTTAATAGTTTAAAAAAAGTGTACAGTGACAGAGGCTTACCCGCTTGCATCCATAACATCCCTCGAAATCTTCATCTTCTTTGTAGTCCCCTTATACAAATCCTCCAAACTGCACGGCAAGTTCCTCTCAATTGCGGCCGCCTTGCGTGGCATGCCACTTGAACCCCCTTCCCCTCCTGCAGCATTCCTAAATGAAGCAAATATATCATCCCCAAACATACTCCTCGGGAAACCTGATCCCCCAGCCCGTGACCCGCTTCCCATATCCCCCATTCCTCCAAACGGGCTCGAGTACCCAAAAAACTCAGAAAATATGTCATCTGCACTGCGAGGGTTGAAACGGAACATGGTTGGCCCCCCTCCTTCCGACCCGCCAGAAAATCCACCAGCACCTGGCGGTGGCACCTGCCCCTTTAATCCTTCCTCTCCGTATTGATCATAAACTGCTCTCTTCTGTGGATCACTCAATACCTGCAATAATCCCACAAAACAAATCAATTCTTTAAAAGAAATCCTCTTTTTCTTGTGGGTTGTAATAATATGAGCATAATTATGTGTTTTAGAGTATACTTACGTCGTAGGCTTCCGAGATTTGTTTGAATTTGGCTTCGGCGTCTTTCTTGTTGTTAGGGTTTTTGTCGGGGTGCCACTTCATGGCGAGTTTCCGATAGGCTTTTTTGAGGTCATCGTCTTTGGCATTGCGGTCCACCTGAAGAATCTTATAATAATCCACACCCATTTTTTTCTTCTTGCTTTCAAAATATCTCTGTTTTCTTGTTTACC